TTTCCTAATGCGTAACTGGACTTCCTAAGAAGTACCAGGAGCTCAAAACAAAAGGATGTCTACGCAAAAGTGTAAGTGCAAGGTAAACATGAAATAGTATTTCCCTGACCAATCCATAGTTTAATGTTCTTTTGAGATGGTGAATTAGTGTTGAATAAAACTTGATAGATCTGTCTTTCATGAATATATCTGCTAGGTTTTGACTTCTTCAGCATTCACAACATCTTACAGCAATAGCCAGACATTTTAACCAGATGCCTTTTGAAGCAGTACCTTCTTTTCTAGTTCTTGTTCTGAACTCACATCATGATTTCACTTCATGAACCAGTTTTTATATTATGTGAAATACAGAATACTTTTCATGACAATTTTACAATGAATTTTAAGGCAAAATATTTTGCAAACATCTGAATAATTAGAAAGTGCAGTAAGTGATAACTATAAAGACAATAGGTATTTGGAGTATTTACTGAGGAAACAATAACCAAACACTGTATCTCTTTCAGTGACACAGAAACATACAGTTCTATGGCTCTGCTTTTACAGTACTCTCTCTATATTTTCAAATTCTATTTTAACTGGTGTAATAATTAAGGCAACAGCTTCAACTGTGATTTTACTTTTTCCCCAAAAGAAGCTTGTTCTGAGGTGCTGACATGGTATCCTGAGAAAAATCTTTAAATTTAAATATGCCTCTAAGAGCAGAGATGCACACAAAGGTGTTTTTTAAAGCACTGACAAACAGGAAAAAAAAAAAATTCAAAACCAAGAAAAATGTTCCTACATACCAATAAGGACAGGGTTGGGCTGTAACCTCTCCACCCCAAATCAACTCCACACGTAAGTGCTAACAAAATTTGTGAACCCAGCAGCATTAGTACAGGACTTTTTATTATTAGCCCACTTATTTTATTTATTTCTTTGTATATATAATAAACACAAAGGGAACATAAACCTTATATACCTACCTGCATAAAATATGTTTGTAGTAATATAATACACAAGAATTACTATGGTATAATATATATAGTATAATATATGTTAATCAATAACAAGTATGCAAGTATTTTTTTTACAATTAATTAATAAGGTTGAGACTCACCTATAAAAATCTTCAAAGTTCAGTTCAGCTTTTCCTTTCTTGCCAAAAAAGTGTACAAGCAGTGTAGTATCTGACAGTGAACTTGAAATATCATCAGCACGCTTAAACATTAGAGTGAAAAAAATTAAAGGGTCAGTTACAGAAGTATAATCTGAGAATGCCTTTCATCACAATAGACCTTTCCATTAGAAGTTTGTGGTTTATGTTCACAGTCTTAAAAAAGATTTTAGTATTAAAACCCACTAAATTAATTTAGTCATGCAATTTTCACACAAAATAGCATTAGGCTGTTAATTGCATTTAGTAGAAAACACTTCAAAAAGCAATATAATATAATAGAAGCTGCAATGAAGGGGGGGAAAAGCATGAAAAATAAAATCAGAATTTTTTTTTTTAAAAAAAGTTCTCATTAGTTGAGGCAAACCATAAAAATAACTCCCTTTGTACACAATCTCCTTTCCCTTCTACTATGCACTTATGAAGAAATTAAACGACTTCACTTCACATACTCTTATATTTCAAAATTATTAAGTATGGGAGTGCATTCCAAAAGCACTCACATCAGTCACGTGTATTTTATATGATTCTTTGCTATTAGAAACAGATGACTACAGTTTAAATTTTATTGCCCAAATATACTTAAATCAACAGAATTTTAAGAAATGTTGAAATCATGAAGTAATATTTTGACTCAGTTTCTTAAGAATGTTATCTATGGAGTATATGGTCTCTCCAACAGACAGGAATCTTTGAACATATACTAACACTTTTTCCATAATAAATATCAGCTTTGAAGACACAGATTAGAATAAGAAAACCAACTAATTTTTACCATTTATAATAGGAAGAGTTGCAAATAGGAACATATAAACAGAACTATCATCTGTGTATGGTGATTTTGCAGCATTCCACTTTTTAACTACATATTCTTTACTCTTAACTGCCATGTATGTGCATTGATTTTACCTCTTTTACAAAAAAAATTCTTGATATATTGAAGAGATGGAATAATAATTCAATAATATAAGGCTCTTGAATAAGCCATAGTAGTCCACCATGGAAATGTCCTTCTGGCATTAAAGTGCATCTGCCAACACTTGAAATTCAAAAAGTAATATATTTAGTCTCCTTGTTGCACCTGCGTAGGGAGAACTTTCTGTCCAAGCTCCAAGGTGTTTGGGAGATGTAACAGTACAAATTTATCATCATAATGATAGATTGTAAGCCTATGGGACTTATTCTAACTATAGAAAACCTTTTATACTGATCTATAAAGATCTGCATATACAAACCTGCAAGCTGCACTCAGAGTCCTTTAAGTCCGACTTTATTTCATAACTGAAGAGGCTATCAATTTATACAGATAGAGAAACTCTAAATGAAGAAACTAGGAAGAAATTTTAACAGTATGCAGTATTTCAACATTAAGTACCATGAAAAAAAAATTTCATATCTACATTCTCTGAAATAAACTATTATTTTCAAATTTACACACCAATTTGTAAATAGTGTAAAATGCAATATCCACTAAGAGTATTTATGTACCAACAACAAGGGAAAACATGAGGCAGTCCCAACACAAATCCTTTTCTTTCACCTTCCAAGAACTAAAGAAATGAGAGAGACCTTTCTGTACTTTATTATAATCAGTTTAGGGTTCTCAGGATTGTATTTCATGTACTCTAGCTTCCTCTTTATTCTCATATTCTTCTCCAGGGAGAAATAAAATGACATAGTGTATATATAGGTAGAAAGATATTTCATGTCCTTCTATGAAGACAGCTCCATTCTTCAAGTGAGCAAACTAATTCTGAAAAGTAATCACTATTTGTCTTTTAATATTGTTATCCTCCACTACAGGACACAATATACTGAAATGCAGATACCCTGATTTCTTAAGTCTTTTAAGCGGTTAAATCCCTAAGCACATTCAAACAATTTCCCTCAAGTACACTGAAAAGATATCAAATGTTAAATTACAGCCTTTCATCTTGCAAAAACATTTAAAAACCTTAGACTTAGGTTGCATTCACCCATATTAAAAAAACATTAAAAAAAAACATACAATCTGTAAGTCTTTTCACAATTGCCATTTGGTCAGCCTCACTAAATGAAAAAAAAAAAACAAACAAAAACCTTCCCCCAGAAACCCAACCCAGTGTGCTTTCTCTGCAGAACTGCAGGCAACTGAAAACTATTCCTGTGCTCCGTCTGCACTGATAGCATTAGATAAAGTATCTCTCTCAAGGAATAAGGATAAAATCAAAAGCCTTAATAATTTAAAACTTTACTTATTCTCCATAATAAAATAATTTTTGTATTTTAGATCAGTGAAAGTGAAATGACCACACCTGTTTCCACATACATAAATATAAGCCTCTATTTTGACCTAATATAGTTTGCAGTCATTTAAATGAGAAGAAACTCCTGCCTCGTTTCTCTTTACCTTTACACTAACTGTAATACATATACAGGTAAAGAGACAAACAGGAGAGACAAGTGTTTCAGTCACATTATGCTTATTGCATAATGGTAAAATCTTTTTTTCCACTCAATTTCCTGACCTCAAAAGCAGCACATCTATTTTTTTTTAATATTCTGAAAAATTATTTTCAAGCTGAGTTGCACTCATCCGTGATGGTCCACTTACAGCAACATATGATAAATATGATATATGCATATTATGCTTTGAATTAGTAAGAGCTTTCTTACTGCAAACCCATGATTTTTTCCAACAGTGATAATTAATCTGTTGATTTCCAGTTTCACTTAGTAATTTAAGGATAAACCCACCAACTGAATTCAGTGATAACTGGCGCATTCCAACAAGATGGTGTAGTTGCTAAATTGGGAATAGCAGGAACAGGACTGTAGGCTGCCCTACAAAAAACTGGATGATGAATAACTTTGCCCCAAAGAGATCTTGTAAGTTGATTCCCACAACAACGGATCTTATTTACTCTCCTTTTCAACTTACACAAGGCCTTCTGGAAAGGCTATGAAACCACACTGACTCCAGTGTGAGCCAGCTTTATGCCACTTTCTTAGTACAGATGGCTATGTTATGTGAGATGTGAGAGTACCTGGGAGAGATAAGAACATGGATGAAAGCCAGCTGGCTCAAACTTAACCCAAGCAAGATAAAGATGATTACAGTGAAAAGTGGGAAACTGTCAGGGGAGCAAACGCACGACATTTTTTTTCTTCATAAAATTATTTACAAGTGTGCAGAGAGATAGTCTACACATCTTTCATACAATTTAAATCAGTGTTTAGTATAGCTGCTGTTAGGTTTCAATTACATTATAATTACAGATAATAGGCTGAAGCATGAGATGTAAAAAAACCCTCCAAATTAAAGGTGTGGAGAGATTACCAAACTTAAGTCCACATATAGCTAGGACTGAATTCATAGCATCTAACTGTAGATTAAGACAGTTAATTCAGAAAACTCAGTGTGCCAGGCTCCATAAACAGTCAACGAAAAGAGCAGCCCTCTCTCCCAGCTGTCTCCCTTAGCTGACCAGCCAAGAACACTGATGTTATGGGTTTTAATATTTGATGGAATAAACAAGGACTAATAACTGGACTAATTGTTCAGGAACGCACCTGTTTAAAAACAAGGAAGGAAAGGCTGCTTTATTTCAAGATTACTACAAAGACAGTATTATTATGAATATTGCAACAAATATTGGTATAAAACTGAATTCTGTAGTAGTGCATTTTGTTTTGTTCAAAGGCAAATGATCTTGGGCAGAGAGAGATACAGAGAAGGCCTATTTGATACCTGGGAAATGGAGGTTCTACCTTCAGAGAAACACCACAGACTTTGCTGTCTTTAGCCTATGACAATTAGAACTGAGGGCTGTAAATGCGTTTATAAACAACACTATGAATAAGATTAACACTAGAGAAGAAACAGCCCTACGAAAATTAAAGAACAACAGACTGGTATAAATGGACGATGAGTAAATTTAGCCTGGAAATTAGAAAAAGCCCATCCAAGTCCTCAGGTTATTCAGTAGATTGGGCAGAGGAACAGCAGGGAGAAAACACTAATTACTTTTAATTTGGACCACACATTGATTATGAAGCAAAGAAAAATAACCTTTACCCTGAAGATCCGTTTCAGTTCCTTGTTCTTTTCTCATTATGATCCCGCACATGAAGTACGGAAATCGGAACCAGAGCTAGTGGGGAGTTGCTGTATGTCCTTTAATGCCACAACCAGCAGAGCAATCACCTGTACTGTGTGGGGCATAGAAAAGCCTAAATGATCTAGTTTTCTCACTTTCTTAAATGATCAATACAAATAAATGCCTTAATTATCTGAAAGCAGATCATGAAACAAGAATCCTATTAGATTTTAAAGCATTATGGACATTAATTTGACAGCTCACTAATACTACTAGTCCTCCATAGTGATTGTATAATATTAGAAAAGACTGACTAATGTTTTGGTTACCTTAAAACATTCCTGGTTTTATTCAACAATTGAAATAATCTTTGTGTGATACTGCTTTTGTGAAGGTAAGCTCTCATAGCGTACATAAAAACGACATTAAGTACCTAAAGATTAAAAGCTTAAAGGGGTGCAAGTCTCACTAAACTTGTCATATCACTAGACAGAACCTAAATTACAAGGGTTTCTTGAATCACTTCTCCAACTGTGAAATAGCATCACTATGAGTGTTAGAAAATGTTTCTTATAGTAAGGCCTGAAAAGGATTTGATCTTCCAACTCTTTCAAAAGGTAACTTGGAAATGATAACTTTCAATTACTGCACCACACAGAACCAAATCCGTTTCATCTCAGAACTTTCAGGTTTTCAAACAAAAGTAATTAAAAGGAAGAGAAGAAACCAAGTGCATAAAATAAGAAAATAATCAGAACAGAAAATAAAATAACAGTCTGGATATGGACCAGAGACAGAGGTTGTCTTGTACCTCTGCAAGGTCCGAAAAGAGTGCTTGGCTTGTGCTACGTCTCAAAGTATCCCAATAACTTCTGGGGACAAGGTCCTCTCCTTCTGTTTTAAGAACCTGCAGAGTTGTCAAGAAGCACAGTTGTTTGAAAACCAAAGAACAACAAAAACAACGGCTTACAGACTTTAAAATCTTTTCCAACTGATCTTCAAAAGTGTGGCTTGATTTTTTTGCTTCTACACAAGACAAATTTCCACACAGTTACATGACACCTTGTAAATGAAAGGAACACTGGTCTATTACACCTATTTGCTTATCACTCATAACTTGGCTGTGCCAAAAATATTACTACCAGATGCCACTTCCCAAACAAATCAGAGAAAGCATAAAGTGAAAATATCTTTTAAAAGTACATGTGAAAATGTTCATCTAAACTCATCACTTTGCTGGTGTTCTGAACAGTTCCATTTTGACAAAATTAATTTCTACACTCATGAAATTTGCCTTCTCATTGGTCAAAATATAGTTATGACCACACAACTAGTGATATAAAATTAATTTCATCCAATAATCAGGATGGCATCCTTGCACCAATAAAGAAATGCAAAAAACAAGCGTAGTAAGTCCAACTTAAACTGTAATATACTTATCAAGAAAACACTCTGCACATCTGATGACCAAACTTACCTTGCTTAAACAGAAAATGTGTTTAATCTCTCCAAGGAAAACATGCTTACCCTTTTGCTCTGAAATCCTTCATTTTTGGAAGCCTGAAAAATTCTCCCTTATTAAAACAGGCCTTCCTTTATCTTGCAATTAGTCTTGGAAGATCTACCAAAGCATTTCTGTTTTTTTGTTTTTGTTTTTTTTTTTCCCCGAAGAGTCTAGGGGGGTGATCCTAAAGACAGCAGAAAACTATTTGAACTTGGTTAGGGTTACTGCAACTGAATGAATTTTCACCTTGTCTCTCCACATGTTAATCTAAACTAAGTCTCCTGCTTTCACAGCTCCCCATTCATGTCCATCTGGGTAGGCAAGAGAAAGAGCGAGTTTAATCTTCGAAGTACAAAGGAAAACTATTTTTTTTTTGACTCAGCACATGCTCTTCTCTTAGAAGATTTATGCTGTTGTGGAATCTGTAAAACCACATTGCTATCATAAAGAATAAAGTAGACAGTTGAAGTTTTATTGCTTCCATGTATTCTAAATTATGTCAGCAGATTTTATATGTATTGCTTCTACAAGTTCTGTTATGTACTTCCTTCACTAACCAGCTCAACTCAGCTCTTTCTGTAATTTGCCATCAAAGAAACATGACAAACTACCACAAATTATACATGTGTTTAATGTATATTTTAGTTTTGTTTCTTTTTTTAAAAAAAATGGTCTTATCTTTCACTTATTATGGGGTTACAGTTCCTATGCTGTGGCCACAGTATTCAATTTGTTTACTTCAGTGTATATTAGGTCCTTACCAGTTTCTCTCTTACACTTACTTATCTCTTTGATGTTTACTGGGTCATGTGAATGAACAACATCTCATCTTTTTATGCATACAATTCTGCAATTATCTATTTTAAGTGTTCACTAAATTAATTCTCCTATTGGAGATTTCACTTGAGCTAATGGAATTAGTACCTCTGGGCATGCATATTTTATTTTCCTTACATGCATTTCATAATCATTATCATGTTCTGGTTGGCATTTGGCTTGGACCCATGCAATACATGCAGAATGAGCCTTAACACACAACTGCAGTATGCACCAGAGCATGACTTGAAAATAATAACCTTTGCAAATGAAAATATAAAACTATTTAATATATTTAAAATATCCCTGTATTCACTCTGTGGCTTATAGACCTTGACAGTTTTCAAAAAAGTTAGAGCTCTTTATAAGGATGAAGTCCAGCAGTCTGGACTATCCCAAACATTTTAGTGCTACATCTCCTTGGTCTTGTGTATCTTCGACTGCCCAAGACATCAAGGGAGACTGAAGCCTAACTACTTAGCTTTCAGTTCAAACCAGGAGGCAGCACAGGAATATTGCAACCACTGCACACCATCTTTCACTGCAGTAAAGCCCGATCTAAAATCCACTGAGCCATAAAGCCTCACATTTCCTACTGCTTATTGATTTGTTCTGTAAGTGAAGCACAAAAATGTAAAAGTCTCTTCTGGTTTCTTTTTTGGGGGAGTGAGAGGGACGTGGGGAGAGGGAACAAAGAGGTGAAGAACTCATTTGACTAATTATTACTTCACAGTATACATAAGGAGATAAGACAGAGCTGGATCAAATGACTCCTGCAGGATAACTTAATTGACTTACATTAATTAAAAACAAGTCTATAATTTCTTACGTGTTTTTTTTTTTTTTCCTTTCCTTTAATAATACTTTCTTTTCATATAAATAGAGAGATCAACCTTTCCTCCTGGTAGGCTTGCCTGTTTCAAAATGTGTGCAACAAGCATGCGCAATCTTTCATGCAAGGAAAAATCCATCACATTTTTACTGATTAGCATAAGCAATCAATGAAAAAAAGATAAACAGTAGATTTTCTTATAGCCTATTATTTTGCCTCACTGGTGAAGACTGCATAAATTGGAAAAAATTAGAGTACATACACTGTTAGTAGAAGTATGATATCCATAAAGTTGAAGACGCTGACATACAGTAAAAACGGGCCAAGCCAAGTATCACATGTCAGAATGAAGCCAAAAGGAGATAAAAAAAAAAAAAACACAACAGAATAGGTTAAGACAAGTAAATGTTTATTTTATATATTATTAGTTTGTTTGTTTTCAAAGTGACAGTGAAAAAAAAAATGGCTTCTCTTCAATCTCATTCTTCAAATTTTCAAAAGAGAAGTACTGAGTTGTAGATTCATCAGGAGAAATGTTGTTTTGCAATCTTTTACTTTTTAATTATTATTTTTTCTCTTCAATAACTGCAGTTTAGGCTAAATATCGCTTTTTTATTTATACAAAGTTATGCATATTCTTTTAATTATATGAATTGTTTTTTAAAAAATTGGAAGTGCTTAGTGAAATGTATATACACAGCTTTGTCCTACATCAAAGGAAAGAAACCAATTACCAGCTACAACAATCCTAATTTTACTTACCAGCATTGCACGTTTTTCTTCATCTCCTTTTCTTTCTCGTTTCTCATTTTTTTTCCTGAAAATATCTTGTAGCTAAAAAACAAACCATTTTGTTCTTTTTCAGTTTTCAGACTATTACACATGCGTAAGAATCACTGATGGTGAGGAACAAGCATGTAAAATAATGCAAACATTATTAAAATGTAGTTCTTTACTAAAATATCAGCGTTTCACTGATCTTTTACTGTTCATATTCATGCCTTCATGTTCTTTCTGTGACCTCAACCACCACACAGAAAGGAAAAAGGAAATATTTTTTCCACAAACTTAGGTTAATAATTCTATTTGGGAGCACAATACTAAGAACATCCTACATTTTACTTTGCCTTTACATTTTAGCCAATATAGTCTACACAAAAAGGGGGAGTTCAAGCCTGTTTCACCATCTCTAGGCACATCCTTTCTTGTTGGGTACTAATTAGTATCTGTGCAGCTATGTAGTCAGCTGGATCAATCTTTTTTTCACATTGTTAGTTTTGAACCATATCAGTCCTTACTCCTGCTGGCACAAAGGGAGGGGTGGAAACACCTGGTGGGGGTGAAACATTTCTCTTCAGCAACAACAAACTACTACTCAAGAGTAATTTATCAAGTACCCTTTTTTTTCAAGTCTGTTCAAAGAATACCTTCAGGTCTTGTAAAATACCCCTTTCTCAACTTTCTCTACATTAAGAGCTTTAAACATGACTTCTGAGAAAACCTCAAATACAAGACTTAAAACATACAGATTCTTGAGCATATTTATTTTTTTGAGATTATAAGGTCTTCAGAGTAAGAACTGGCCTGTACACATCTATCTTTGTAAGTATCTCATTTTGTTTATGTATTCTTATTTATAGCAATACTTACTCATATTCCCAAGCCATTAGAAAAAAAGTGTCACAACACTGACTTTTCACAAGAGAAAGCACTATTAACTATGCTGCTATCTGTATCTCTACCAGGGAACTTCAGCTTTGCAAAAATTGCACGTGAAAATATTGTGCTGCCACTTGTAGCATTTACTAATCTCAAAGTGGGCTGAAAGAAGAATAAACACTGTGGCTGACAAATATGTCCTATCTAGAACAAAACGTCATGGCATACAGACACAACTGTGGCAGTCATTCCAAAGACCTGATCTTACCTACCAGAACTCTGACAAATACCTGATACTGTAATGACATGCACACAGATCCCTCCGCAGGGATTGGAATGTGAAAGATGAAGTGCATGTGATACATTTTGCTAGTAAATTTTTGAACTTTAATTTCAGAATACCGTATTTTGGAGCAGGCAGATGACTAAGCCAAAGGGATATAAGCAAGCTCTACTGTGGGGGTATGACAACACTGAAATAAATTAATACAGTGTTTAGCAATTAAATAGTAAATATGTTTATAAATAACTTTTTATGGATTCCCAAATGGACTACTCTGTTCTGGATTTGTCTATAAGGCAAATACAAACCAGAATATTGTGTGTGTCCCTATATCTGTTTTTGAGTATGGGATCAGATTATGGACCTTGGTATGGGTTTTTTCTATTTTTTTTTTTTTTTGCAAACCTGCAGTCACAAATTACTGTAACCTGTGCTGACAAGGAAAGAGTCGTGATGGGACATCTAGGTGGATCACCTAGAGTATTACCAGTTTGCACCCCAAAACTGTGGAAAGAAGAAAGGTAAATGAAACCAGAGAAGCAGAAAGAAAATACCTTCTGAAAAGTGAAGTGACAAGCCATCAAGAAGGAGAAAAGAGGGGCAGTAACTGAAAAGCCAGAAAAGACTGGTAAAAAGCAATGCATCCTTGGGTGTATTTCCCTGCCACAGAGGCAAAGGGAGCAAGATTCTGTTGCATTCATCATGAAAGCACTTGCTAAACTTCTGGAAATGGATCTTTTGTTCAGGAGTGCTATATGATACCAGCAGTAGGAAAGGGAACACAAAAAAGGATCTAGGCGTATTTTCATAGGAACAGTTTAAAATAGGATAATGAGATTGACTGCTGAAAGCTGCAAAAAAAGATCTCCTGTAACAAGCCAAGGCAATCCTTCTGTTACCTGACCTCACCCCCATGACATAAGCAAAGAGGAAAGCGCAAACACCATGGAATTAGTTTACAAAACCACTACAGTTGTTATCAGAAAAAAAAAACTTATGGGGTTTGATCTAATAGTTGAAGGGTCATGGACACAGTAATCAAGCAGAGTTAGGGTCATGATTAATCTCTACAAATTTATTAAATACAGTAATACTTGGACAACACTATCCTAATGTTTGAAAGTTCTCCCTTCTTTCTTCTATCCACCAAGTCTGGTAGCAGAAAAAAAATTAAGGAGAAACTTGTATTAGGGACCATGACAGAGAACGAATAAAAAGCAGAATGTGAAGAGGACTATTAGAAGCACAGTTAAAAAGAAAGATGCAATAGTTAAATGTTTTCCTTACTTCCCATCTTATACACTTGACATCATTTTCATCACCAGTTTCTGAGAGACAAAGCCTCCTGCTTCAATTTCCTCCCACTTAGCTGTTGTAATGAAAGCCTTTTATTTTTTTTTATGTTAGCCTATTCCACTACATTCTGTTTTATTGAATCACGAAAGACTTCCCCCCTTCTTGCCTTCTATTTGTCCTTTGGCCCATAAATCCAAAGTTTGCTGGCTTTTTCTCCCCAACTGGAGGACATGATTATTAGGAATCGTCAAATATACGGGTGTGTAAATTTAATATTAGAATTCAAAAAAATTATCAGCATCCCACAATTTCCAAGTGTTGACAGCTTCCCAAATGAATAGGACCTGTTCTACTTAAGCTATGCCACCAGTAAAAAAGCCCCCAGATCTCAGATCTCATTTTCTTGAAAAGGAGAACTGAGGGATGTTCAGTGTGTTAAGGAGTTTCTTTCATGTTTCTGCTGTCCTTAGGTTAGCCTTGCTTATCTGAATCCAGTCTTAAAACTTGATTTGCACACAATTAAGAAAGAGCACACGGAAAATGCAGGTGTCATCATTTTAAATACATTTAAATACATTTAAGTGTGGTCTGACACTTAAATCCATTCTACATGTGTTTCAATCTTTGTATTTCGTTCCATCTTCTTCAGTAAGGCAGTGGGGCTTTTTCTCATATGTATTTATTGTATTTATAAATAAAATCAACTACAGAAAAAATGTGTGGAGATAAGAACTTATGTCTTCTGCAAATATATATATATTTTTAAAGGATACAATTAAATTCTTACTATCAATTTTTTACTTCAACACTGACATTCATCTAGAATATCATCAATTATTCCTCCCATGTCTTTTAAAATCAGAAAATAAATGAAATGAAAATAATTCTGAAATAGCCCTCTCGCTCCAAGGCTTTTAATTTTATACTTGTCAGTGCAAAGATCACTCTCCTGTACGTGGTGGATCTATAACCTGAAAACTTACAAAGTATTCTAATTTTCAGACACAATTACCAGATTTAGCATGATCAAATTAAAAACTATAATGAATGATTTAAGATTTTCTCAAGTGCCAAATTCTTCTTAACACACAAGCTTCAATGGTATGTAAAATAAGCTAATTTTTCTTTTAAAATCTGTAGTGTAACTAAACCTTGGATGCAAGAAAACTACTGCCAAGTTCTAGTCCTGCCAACTGTTTCAAAGCATATGAAAATTATCCAGCTCAAAGTCCTGATTTTGCTAACAGGAATATTCTCATTACAAAGAAATCACTGATCTCCAGCTCAGCAAATTGCTTCAGCATATGGATTTCATGGGCTGAGCTAGATGTACGTGCAGTATGTTTTATTTCATTACAAATCTTGTCCAAAACAGATAGTAGTGTCACATTATGTCAATCAATATTTTCAGGTCACTCGGGATCACAAGCAGAATGAATGACTGAGTGGAGTGGCCTCCCATGAAAAGATTCTTTAGCACATCCCTCTACCTCTATCACAGATTCACAGAATTATGTAAGTTAAATAATTCTGCGGAGCATTGATACAGCAATAACACTTTTATAGCCCAAATATCTGTGAATCTAGTAGTACTTAAAAATATCTGGAATAAAAACTGGAATTCAACTCCAAAAATAATTTTATACAATACACTTGTGCACTGCAATAAGGAGCTACTATTTACAGTTTGCATTAGATTAACCATTTACATTAAATAAGGCAAATAACTACCTTCAGTGAAGAAAAAGCTCATGTTATAATTTTTTATTGACACCATCATGAGTCATAATGCAAACATAAAAAAAGAATTTCAAGAATACATCAAAATATTCAAAGACTGAAAATATACATACCACTAAGAATTCCTTTTTGTCCACCATCTCATTGCCATCAGTATCAAACATGTTGAAAGCAATTCTAAAACCTGCATGTGGCTCTGTCAAAATAAATCCCATTCAATTATTTATTTGCTTGGAAAGAAAGCAAATACAAAACTAAGAAATTATTTGGTGTCTGTTTATAAAAAACATCTCCTCAACTAATTTAAATTAGTACATCTGTGTACATAGTAATTGCAAATCATAACATCTGTAAAACAGTATTATACATGTTATGAAAACAGAAGCCATACTCACAAATTCATAGATTAGGGGAAATAGACAGTAGAAACAGAACATGAAATAGCCACAAAAAAAAAAAATCTCACAGTAATGGCTGGTTGGGTAGTTAAGACTGTTAGTTCATAACTAGAGTCGATTTTATGTTACAAACCAGAAATTTGTAGAAAATAGATTTTGAATGAAAACACAGTGTTCAAAAAGAGACTTTAAAAATTTGTGCCAAAAAATGTACAGGATGAAACCTCTGATCAGAACAAATGATATGCTGAAAGTGACCCAGAATTGAAATTTGACATAAGGTCAGAATTTTAAATTGTTTCCAAAACAAGGGGACTTTGAAGGTAACTGCAAGTGAAGCCTTTAGACAACACTTTGGTTATATTCAATGATTTGCAGTATGGATGAATTATGGCCAAAAGTTTGTCCAGGTAACAAAGGAATGATGGAAGAATATCCATCAAACCAGTGGTTAGGGATATTAAGGGTTCAGGGTTAAGCCTCTGCTCTGATTCATAGTAAGAATCCAGATCATGTCTGAAAAAAAAAACCCTAATGAATCCAATAGAAATTTTTTAATTGCATACAAATGAATGACAAGTAAAACAGGTCACTCCTTCCCAGAAAACACCTCTTAAAATATCAAAAGAAAGTCTGTATTTGGCTTAGTTTACTCTAAGCTATTCTTCGGTTTTATGGGTGGTAGAAGAATAAGTATTCAGTTTTGTTAATCTTCTAGCATAAATAAACATTTACTTTATTTGGACAGATATATTTTATCATCTCAATAATGTCACACATTATGAATGAATAGGTGAAACAACCCAGTAATAATGTGTATCTTACTCTCCATATATTTGGTGTCCTGCATTAACATCAGTATAATCAGCTAGAAATTTTTTAGGAATTTCAAAGAAGAAAATAAATTTAGGCTTTTAACTAGGGTTTAGATGAAGTGTGTGCCTCAACTTTCTCAACAGTCAGTAAAAGGTGTTCTAGATAACAAAGCACTTAAATAAAACATAACACAGGATTCCAATATGAGAGGAGAAGTTCAAGAGGACATAGATCCATATGCTTTTTTATTTCCCATATTGGGATACGAAGGAGATGGGGGTAAAAAGAAGAGAAAAAAAAAAGTATTGTAATATACAGGCAATACATTCTGAGCTTAGAAATTTGTAAGGAAGTTTTGGTGTTTTTTCTCCAAAAATACTTACTTGTTAAAATACATAAGAGAAATAAATATTCTGTGTAAGATATCACACCTGAAGAAAAAAAAAAAATTATGCCACATTAGCTTCACCTTGTCTTCACATCCTGAACTTGCAAATATTAAATCTATGCACAAGGAGAATTTTTGTAAATGTGCATATGCATATTTATACTTGTGTGAATGTGACTGTATTCAACCTGGCCAATAAGTTATTTGTCTAAATAGTGACCTGTGGTGTAGGGTATTTTGTTTGGGTTTGTTTTGGAGTATTTTAGGGGAGGAATACATCAAATATGTCAGCTAAACAACTACGGTCAGTATAGAACGGTCCATTATAAAGAAGTTGGCTAGATTCTTAGATGTGAATATATGATTTTATTTTCTTTCTGAAAACTTCACCAATAATTCACAATAAGTGCACGTCCTATATTAATTGGCACTTGGCCTCATGTAACTCATGTAACTCATGAAAGCACAGACTTGGGCTTTTGAGCTGTCCTTACATGCACATTTTTATAATAAACACCTGAAATTTATACTGAAACACTTACTAAATGAATGTCTAAATTTTGTTAAATATTTTTAAAGCCTGTTAGAGATATCTGTACTATCTCTTCTTCTACATTCAGAAGATCTATAAGGAATATATTCTAAGCTTTTCATCTTTCATTAGATGTGAAAAAGCAATTTTTGTGTGGAATGGCACTTCCTTTTCTCTTCAGAAGCGACTAAGGCAAAATTTAAATTAGAGCTGAAGACAATATCCAAATAGTATGTCTGGTACCACAAGTTGTATTTCTGCTTTCTAGCTCTAGGGCAAAGAGATAACCTTGCAGATGCTCATAGTACCAACAAAGAGAAGCATCTTACAGTTCAGTAAAAAATGAAAACACTGATTTGCAGCTCTCCCCAAAGCCCTTAGCTCTAGCGATCTTCAAGGCTGAACTAGCAAAACTGGTTCCTGTTTTCTCAACCAACTGATTTTGTCTGTCCTCCCAAAACTAAAAGTGTTAAGTCAGTCCACAATATTAGACCATTTCAAAAGAGTTAAAAAAAAAAAAAAGTATTTAGATGCCTGAGAGTAAAGATGTCTATCAGCTGGGATTTTCAAAGTTGCTGGCTGTCTCCTTGATTTCAGTCCAAGTCAGGTGCAAAAGTTTTTACAAAAACAGCCACATCTTTGCATGTTTGAATATCTTTTAAAATCTGGCTTAACTCAGTATGTAAATAGTCATCTGAAATTTTTTTTCACTGAAAAAGCTGTACAATTGAAACTGAAAACATTGTATCATTCATGTTGATTTTACAAGTGTTGAACACACTAAACATCAGCACTTCCAACACTATCGAAGAAAGAAACTTTGGCATTTTCTACTGTTTACAGCACAAAAAGTTCTAAAATAATTCTGTCCTGAAACAGTACTCTGCAGGGACTTTCCATCCTCCTGAATAGCTGAATATGAAAATCTCATCTATATTTCTCTTGGATCTGTCCAAATGCCTCAACTTTTGATAATACAGTACTTCTCCCTAAAACCCAATTCTCCTGAAAGAGGAGAACCTTCAAGAGAATCAGGTCTCCTATCCTCAAATGTAAAAGAAAAAAAACAAACAATCACAGAGATCTCCATAGATATCACAGAGACCCGAACATAGAGGCAATACAAAAAACAGATAGTAACTGTCTTTGGAAACAAATCACATACCAGAAAAACAAAACAAAACAAAACAAAACACTAAATCCCTCACCCTTTACAAGCTGAAACACTGCCCTCCAGTTTTCCAATTCATGGAAAACCCCCATATTTTCCCATCTTTTAATCCAAGAGCACACTTAAGTGTTCAGGACCAAGATATTACTACTGCTAGTAGACCTTACTAAGAAGGCTATTAAGTATTTTAAATATCACCTACACTTTTCCTCATTTACACACAGCTCCACACTGAAAGCAAAGACTAAATGCAAGCATTTAAGTAATACATGCTCTGTGCTTTATCTTCTTGATTTTGCACAGCAGCCTGCAGAAATTAGTTTTCAAGGACCCACTAGAATCTGTTTGGACAAGCAGCTCTCAAGAAATCAGATACCTCAAAGGTTCTCATTCAATGATGTAAAATGTTCTCTAATGGCTAGTCAATAAATGTAAATATATATTTTTATTTGTTTGATGACACCTTCTTTGTTGTAAAACAGAGGAAGAAAATGCAATTGCCAAGTAGTCCATCACAGGTATGAAGAGAGCACTATAAAACGCCTTGAAAGTGTTGTCTCCTTTTGTTTGTACTGGTATACTGAAGCTTTAGACAGATAGCTCTAGTTGATTGCTGTGCGTGCTATGGGAGAGAGGGTGTGAAGTGATGACTGAAGGGAAAGAAAAGCTTACATTAAGAGAAGAAAAGAAGAGAGGGAGGTCACTCAAGGGTAAAATAAAAATAAAACTTCAGGACAACTGGTATAATTCTGTGTGGCTCATATGATTTAAATTAATCTATGGGAAAACAAAGGTACTTGGGTTTTCAGTACTTGCTTCATTTTAAAATGTGCATGTTTTTTAAAAAAATGAGCAAATTAATCTTACGAGTTTTCATGTCATGTACTAAATAAACACTAAATTACAATTAAGGAGACCTGAATTCTATTCCTGTTCCTTTCACTGGCTCACTGAATGGCCTTATGAGTCACAAGACCCATGATCTTTTCTTATAACAGAAATTAGTTCTGTACAGCAAGCTGAAAAACTATATAAGTGCTAAAGTTTACTACTAATTTTACCCGTTTATTACACTAGTGTTGAGCCCTCTTAAATCCATCAACTTCTGTAGAATTTCACAGGCAGAAAGCTGGAGTAAGATACTGGTGAAGCAGCATAGCACACTGCACACATTTTATTACAGACTTAGTCAGCAGCATCCGTTTTTTTTAAAAACTGATGATGTATTGATTTAACAGATTCTGAAGCTGAATTTTGCTGTAATTAGTATATTAGAAGTCTGCTGTCCTGACTATACAGCAAGTAGCCTAGAGCAAGAAAATACAAGGAAATACACTGCAAAGATGTGTGAGTTTCGAATTCTCTGGAGTTCTGGCTGCAGACTGGGAAAAAATCAAGTGCCTCCATGCACTAGAGATTTGAGCCCAGGACCCTCCTTTGAGAGTAGTTGCATACTTACACCTTTAATAAACTTGAGCTGAATTTGAAACATTCAAACATCAGTTTAACAAACTCAAAGTTATCAATTCACTTAAAGAGGCTAGCTGCAAGATGTCATGATTAATACACTGTAGAGACTAAAGGAAACTTTTCCATGCTGTAAAATGTAGAAAGCAACAAACATTTTTTTACCTTTTTGAAGGTGTGACTCAGATTAAAGTACAACATGACTTTGACCACAATAAATTAATACAAATGATCATTTTGTTCAGGAAAATAAATTCTTACCACTCACCTTTGTCATTAAGATTACGGAAAAGTTTGGATGATCCTTTCCACACTGGTGGTGTCTCCATGAGTATCTGATTCAGTTCCTAAAAATAAGATTTTAAAAAGATTAAAGTATATATTTAAATATTTAATGAAGTAGTTAACAGTTTATGAGTAAATCAGTAGAAAAGACAAGAAACTGCATGCAAACCTATCACTTAATTTAACTTCAATTTACCACTTCCAAATAATTTTGGAAGTACTCAAGCACATATATAAATTTTACATGTTTGTTCCAAGAATTACTCGTCTGTGTCAATACTAAGTGTTTGCAGCAGAGTTGGAGAGAAACATGTAACACTGTTGCTGCTGAAAATACTAACCATTACTTACATTCACTGAAGCCAAGGACAAACTCCCCTGGATTACAGTAAGGTTTTCATACAAGCTCCAAGCAACTGTTCTTTTAAAACACTCAACCTGAGCTAAAGCAAACTTCACCCATGAATATGGATGTACTTTACTTAAAATACAGGGATACAGACAGTCTTTTTGCAGTATCAACAATTTGTAATTGTACAAATGTTAAAAAAGAAAGAGGCACTTAAACATCACAAAAGGTAGACTGATGTAAGTGTTTCAGGCACCTTTGGATACACCTGTTACACTTAGACACTAAAGAAACTTGGTCAGACACAGGCTGAGAAGGAATGGACAGAGGCTTGAGAGTGTCAGTAAATCCAACACAGCAGGCACAGCTGCTCAAGTATCTTTGAGATTCTGGATTCAGTTGAGTCTAAAGTAGCAAAACTTCAGAAGAAATTAAAGTCACTCTCTCCCTTTTTTTTTTTTTTTTTGGTTTGGTTTAGTGTTTTGTTTTGTTTTGAATAAAGATTAAAAAACTCCCTTATTTGTTCCCTGACTCTAAATTGACATAACAAAAGAAAGCAACTATCACAATCTGTGGTTGTAAGACAGCACAGAAATTATGGCCCACCTGCTTTGAAAGGGATCGCCACTTTTTAGCACCTGCAACAAAAGACAAAGTTATTTATGTACAGAATTTACTTATGCCAGTGTGGTGTCATTAAAATTAGACTGCATTGATACCGTGTTTTCTAGCCAAAGAAGAGGCATTTTCCCTACCTGATGACGATAATCTTTAACCTGGTTCCAAAAAGTTCTCTTTACATTATTAAAAAAAACCAAACTTAACACACACCTAAACTCCTAACTTTAAAGAACCATCTCAGATGTACAGTTTTAAATCCAACTCTGCTTCAGTTAGAGAAAAGACTTTCTACCTCCAAAAAACACCATTAAAACTTTAAGCAGGAAATGGAGGGAATTAATGTTAACCTTTGATATCAGTATTCTGAAATTCTTGTTTACTAGCAGTAGTACTACAATAGAGATTGTAGGGAGAACTGTATTCTGGCCCTTGCTTCAGGGCTACTCACACCTTTTAAAGTAAGTAAAGGAAAAATATCCTTGAAACTACGTCAGGTGATAAGACTCCCTTCAGCCATTCCTAGTAACTCAGATGCACGTTCCCTTTCACAGCTTCTGTCAGGCTCAATTTGTTTGTAAGTAGTTTTAAGAGAGGAGCTGAAGGAGGCCTCCAGTTCAGTACAGGAACTGCTCCTTTACACTGAAAACTGATGAGTCAGACTGAGCAGATGCTTCGTCCCTCACACCTGACATGACAGTCTCCACAAGCAGAGAAAGATACTCGCATTCAACAACAGTTTTCCACAACCAAGAATTCGAAACTTGAGGTTCACTGCCATCCTCTCAAGACAAACATTTGCACAGATACAGCATTAAGATAAAGCACTGTGGATACAGAATTCATGAAGGTACAAAAAGTAGCACAGTATGTAGTCAAATTAATAACTTCTTGGTTGTTATAGGTTCATTTTTACAGAACAAAACATTCAGTGGTATCAGAAATCTCTTCCTTGTGGCGAGCTCCATGCTTTGTTAAATAATTATCACAATACAGAAGCTACTTACTATGGCCTGTCACTAGTTCATGGTTAGAAACTGACTGAAATTTTAGTTTTACATATTGAAAATGTTAGCACCAAAACTGTCCACAGATCCCGCTATAACTATGGTGGAGTTATATCAAGCAACATTATAATATAAGCTAACTGATTTGCACATATTTTTCAGTTTAATTTTTTAACAACAATTAAATTCTTGTCTCAAAATACTAAATAACCCCCCCAAACAACAACATTTGCTGTACAAACTGATATATGTTTGTGTCTACCATAAAAAACTTGGGGAATAAATGTATCTAATTTTCCAACATTCATTTCATACATTATACATTTCTTTCTAGACAAGCAAGTGAAGATTTATGTGTGCATATATATTTCCTACAGCGCAGTATTAGGCTAAAATTACTGCTGTTAGAGCTAAAGGAAACAAAATATATTTCTCTTCTCTTAATTGACTTTCTAAATATATTAACATATATTCAGATGATAAAAATGTATCAAGCATGACTGCTGAAAATATTATATTTTCCCAAATATGCACCATAAAGGCAGCAGCAGCAAGTTAATTACAGCATTTATTTTATATTTTTAAAAATAACTGCCTGGAGTCAGAATTTGCATTTTATACAAGAAAATTTACTCTTACCATATTAGTGTTTAATCAAAAAGGAAGTGAACACCCTCTTGACTTTTGCAGGGTTTAAAAGATTTCCAAAGTAAATCAATCACAATAGCCACATTCACTCCATCACAAATCTCATTCAGGTCTAGTATTATTTGCTTTTCTATAAAGTAGATGTAAAGAGCTACTATTATTACTCTTCAAAGGGTATTTCTGCTTTTTTACAAAACTCAAGATCTTTCTAGTCTTCATACATTAAAAAACCCAGGTGTATGTCATGCTCTAGCATGTCAGCCTGAATGGACCAAATTATTTACAACCTGCAATTTATTTACAAAATTATGCAAAAATACAAAATAAGATGTTTAGAATGCATTATTGTATTCAGAAATGTACCTTCCTTAAACTTATTACCTTCAACAGAGCAAGACAGAAAATAAGACTTGACCAAATGGAAAAAGTGGTACTTTGACAAAGCTGCAGTGCCAAGGTTAAAATTAACATTGTGATCAGAAGCTGTATGTGCTGGAATCTGTAGGTCATCTACTTCATCTATTACTTTCTACTTGTTGCTATTCTGTCCATGTGACCCAGACAATATGACTTCCACTATAATAGTCATCCACTTCTACTTAGTTACAGCCTTTTACAGTACCCCCTTAAAATAATTATCTCAGTCATATTATCTCTGATACTAGTCTATAAAAGTAAAAGACATTCAGGTTACTTTCGATTTCAGTCTCAGAGAAGAACTGGATGCACAGGAAGGATTTTGATACAAACAAGGTTTGCTACACTGAACTTGGAAGGGTGCCTGACTATTCAACTCCAGATCTGGATAAACGGAATGGCCTTGTGAGCTTAATGCTTTTTGGTTTGGTATAGTTTTTAAAAACTGAATATTTGTTGTGAGAGAGAAGGAAGCACAAGTTTCATAATTACAGAAAAATCTTAATAGCCAACCATATATAGTGTGGTCAAACCACACTGTCACAAAAAGGAGTTAAAAGGAAACGTTTAACTTATGTCCAGTATACGGCACAAATGCTTCTTGACCATATATGGTGTACTCAATTTCTACAGTAACCAAAAAAGTAAGACTGTGAGGTCTGGGCAGACGAAGTAGATATAAAGTGCTGATGTGTATTTGTATTAACTTCTGTGATAAGGAAACTGCTTCCTCTCTTTTGACTGCAGAGCAAAAGAGAATGAAGATTCACTTTCTGGTAAGAATTTCAAAGTTTTGCAGCTTTTCGCCATCTAAGCTCCATCCTCTGTCTTCACTGTTACAATGAGATTATATCTTTATTCAAAAGTTATAGACGTTTTGATCACTGATGTGCCATGGCTGAATTCTTTCCTCTTGTTTCAGTACTGTTAAGAGAACAAAGGGGAAAAACCTAACATCTGCACAGAGCTTTAAGCTCTCCTCTGACTGTTTTAGCTGCTTTTGACTGTTCTCAGTACTAGCTTTTGTGGTGTATACTTTAGGAAGAAAGACCTAAGGTGAGTTATTATGCATGTCACACCTGAGCAAAGATATTCACTTTCCCCAGAAGTTGTGTACTGCTACCAATGCACCGCAAGCCTGAGGGCCAGGAAATCAAACTAGATCATAAATGGATCACCTTACTGTTTAGTCACTCTTTGATACTTAAAGCAAAAACTGTACAATAAGTGAACTAAAACTGATAGTTAATTTTTCATTAATTTAATTAACACTTAGTGCTAACTCTGGCAACCTTTTAAGTGCAGAAAGTGATCCCCCCAGGGGACTGAAACTCTTACTCAAAGCATGTTATTTAGAAAGCTAGTATATGATTATAAAACCTCTGTAGGGGAAAAAAAAAAAAAAAAACAAACATGATAGCAGATGACAATTTAAGATGGCAAAAATTGCAAAACAATGTTACCTTAAATTATTTGGAGAACTCGTGTCTTGCCTGCCTATTTACACAGGAACTATACAGAGGAGGAGGCAAGAGTTTTACAGCAATACTGGCCTGCTCAGAAAGAAACCATAACTCTGTGTCAATGCAAATGGCACAAATTAACTTCTTGTCTTTCATCCCTGTTGAGTTGTGATGTCTTAAGACATGAACTGATGACTAGCATACAGATGTTTACAGTCTAATAATCAGGATACTGAATGTATGCACTTAGATACAATTAAAATTCTGGAAGATGCACATTTTACCACTATCAGAAACAGAGGTAGTAATCAAAAGCAAATGGAAAACTAACACAGACCATTTTCCCTAGCAATTTTATCAATATATAAATCTGCTGCTTACCTTTGGGTTCATCATTTGTGACAGCCTGAATGAAGTCGGATGGTGTCATATACAGCTGTCCTTCAAACTCTAAACTGGCAAACCTACGAAACCTTTGCTCCCGAGGAGTTGCATAAAGGTGCAGATCTTCAAGGTCTGATCTGCTTTCTGTAACCTTCAGAGACAGATGGAAGCAATTTTAATGTATGAAAAATGTTTTGGTTTACAATTGCCACTGACCACAGAGAAACTGTAACTGCAAAGGTGATCATTCATAAGGTCAAATGCATCCAGATACACATCCATATGGCAAGAGCAGAAACTACAATCAGCATTTCATTGCTATCACTTTCAGTCTTTTACAATTTTAGCAATAAATCTTTATGCATTGAAATTGTTGACACTACCCAAGCTCAGCAACAGAAAAAAAAAAAAAAAAGGAAAAGGAAAATAAAGGAGGATGTAGGGTCTTGAATCATAGAAAAAGGGGCAACTTTAACTGAAGGAGGTTCATGTAACTTCAACATCCAGCCTTTAAACAATGCTGCTAAATTTATTTCAGTTGCCTGGTATTTCCAGAAGAGAACAGAATAAAACTTTTTTTATATTGCTTCTTAATGTAGATTTCAGCAGTTGACAGTAATAGGCAAGACACATCCATGATATACTTCAGTGTAATTCTTCTACAGCTACTATTATTACAAGTATCCAATGCAGCTAATGCTATTTTAAGTATCCAATGCTACGATAAGTGGGGGAAGGGAAGAAGAGAAGAGCAAAATCACTCCTCCAGATTTACTGAAGTATTATATGACATTAAGTTCACACCTCATAACAGTTTATAGATGTCAGGAGTGTCTGGTTTATTTACCACCTGGCTGATTTACATATAAAATTAGTAGAACAAACCTGTAAGTGTTCTAAATTATTACATCTTTCTGTTACATTGTCAAACCTTTTAACAGAAAATATGCTACCGGTATCTGAAATTTTTTTTTGAGCGCTTAACAAGGCAAGCTCCTCTGTGGAATCCGTACCTTCAATAAAATGTTAAGTATCTTGAACTTTTTTCAGAGATGAAAAAAAAAAAAAAACAAACACCAAACCACAAACCCAAACTGTTTTGGCTTCCAAATGAGAAATTTCTTGATTTTCTATATGGAAGTCATAATACTTCAATACTTTATCCAAGATACTTTAAACAGCCTTCTAGGAGGAAGACAGACTACTGACTCCATTTTTCTAGTCTTTTCTGCACTGTTTCTAGTCTCTTTGAAATTATGGCTTCTATTGTCAGTGTGTGTGTGTGGAAAATGATTTGTTTAAATGGAAAAAACTGTCATAGAAATGAAGAGTAATACAAATGTTTATATGGTCATTTAATTTTCAGTTTACTGCTCTGCATCCAAATATTCTGCACTTCTGCTAAGAAGCAGCCTTAAACCTGGTCATTGTGGGTTTTTATAATTTTCTAACAATTACCAATTTCAAAATGGGCAGGAAAAAAAATAAAACCTAACAGTCAGATCTACAAACTCATCCTAGAATGACAGAAAAACCCTGAATACTCTTCTGACATACTCACATGCAAACCGAAATACTTCTGTCCTATCTCACTGTTTGAATATTATGGTCCTACTGATCCTTCAGCAGTCCAGTAGCATTCAAGCTATGCCTTCATGTGGGATTTACAAGACTCAGTTGTTTTGGCAGAGCAAACTGTAGCAACATAACTTATTATTCTTTTATTTGAAGTTTAATAATTTATTTTTGATATGTATGTTACTTTAGCAATATTGCAGATCTGCTTTTGAATACATGCAGGTTGTAAGCATGAGTAATAAAGCAGTATTTCTGCAAAGTCAATTTTCAGAAAAGAAACTGCTTCAAGGCCATACTGCATATGCAGTATGTATAATCAATTCTAATCAGTCATAATCAATTGTATGTAACCAGGAGAATCTGTAGGTAATGTATCATTCAAGAAATAACATCTTAGTTTTGATCACTTAGTGTGAATTACTTGAGAGCAAGAATCTGAGTATGTTCCGCAAATACTATCTCAGATACTACTGCTCAATATTTTGCTTGAGACACTTTGAAAAGCATTTGGTAAATTCTCAGACACATATTTCAACATTATCTTAAGAACTCTCTGCTTCTATAAATATAAAATAACATACTGCAAACACAAAATTTTCAAGACATGCTTAAATTTACCTCATGTCAGTACTGAAGCCTGCAAAACCTTAATTTCTACCTCATTTTAGCCAATTTACAGTTTTCCTTTGACTATAGGAATGCCAATATTTCATGCTCCAGCTCAAAGCCTTCATAACCCGAAACGAACACAGCCTGCCACCAAAAAGAGCAGTACCTGCCTAGAGGTACTTTATATTCATTTTCATATATCTGGTACTTTATGTTCATTTTTCCAAGCGTCAAACTGGATAAGGGAACTACTCTGACTGAGAACATTTCTTTTGGTGGTGTTATCTTTTAGCCAGATAAATGTCTGGATCTAACCCATGAGAACAGCTGTTTCAAAACCTAGACCACAGGAACTTGCATCTTATAGCAAAGAAAATGTCACCTGTTCCAACTCCACCTACTTCACACTAAAGCGAGGGAAAACTGCAAACTTAAAGATTATTTTGTTCCAAGGAATAAAAATAGCACTTTATTTTGAAAATCAGCTCTCTTGTATAAATCTGTAATAATTAGGAACTAATCAGAATGCTAATTAAAAGCCAAACCATTCTAAAGTATACCCTCAATCTGCATCTCTTCAGGCATTCATTTAATAAATTAGTCTCAGCACATAATGATGCAATGTCTCCTGTTTTCCCTCAAAATCAGCAGATCATATAATCCAGTGAGGCAGGTATGAGAATCTTAGTGACACCAACTGCTCTCAATTGATTTATTTCAAATTTATGCCAAGGTTAGGCAATCTTACTGTAGCAGCATGAGTATCAAATCCAACAGACACAAGAACAAGACACAGAAAGCAGGCATGGAATACCTCAGGGAAAGTACTGTCGGTGAAGGAGTGAACAAGATTCAGTAAGATTCCAATTTCTATTTGAAGTTTCAAGAGCTTATGCAGACTAAATTTCTCTGTAATTATCAACAAACTTCAAAAACTTTGATGAAAGTACATCTCTTTGACAAACAAAAGTGAGGAGATCGTTTTATGCTTGTGTTTACTAATCCTCTTGGCAATCCTGCCTACTAATTACTATGATCTTGTACCACGTTATGGTTCTCTGCCTTTTAAAAACTGGGCATGGCCATTTCCTTCAAGCAGAACGTCAAGAATACGGTGTTCTAATACTATATACAATAGCAGTATTATCTTATTTTACATGTACCAGGTTAGCTGTGGTTTACTTGCACATGTACACCAATCTATTTTGTTACTAGGTCTTTTAAGGTAAAAAAACCCAAACAAACAAACAAAACAAAACAGCCCCACAGCTGAAACCAAGAATCTAGTTGGTAGCCAGAATTTCCATCCTTCCAACTTCACGACTCATGAAGTAAATAAAAAGAGGCAGGACTGAAGCTCATCAGCACTCACAAACTTATCTTTCC